CGCCCACTCGGCCTCCAGCTCCCTCCTGCCCCCTCTGCCCTCCAGCACCTCGGACACCTCCCCGTACCGGGTGCTGCTGGGGGCGCGGCAGCTGGCGGTGCCGGGGCCGCACGCCGTGTCCGCCCGCGTGAAGCGCGTGGAGAGCAACCCCCTGTACCAGGGCATGGCCTCCAGCGCCGACGTGGCCCTGGTGGAGCTGGAGGCGCCCGTGACCTTCACCCGCCACGTCCTGCCCGTGTGCCTGCCTGACTCCTCCGTGGTCTTCGAGGCGGGCACCAGCTGCTGGGTCACTGGCTGGGGCAGCGCCGGCGAGCAAGGTAGGGGTGCGGGCGGGGCCGGAGGGGGCCTGGGCGGCTGGGGCCACTCTGACCAGGTCTCCTTCTGCGACATCGGGACTGCGGGCTGTGCCCCCGCGGCTGGGGACGGGGCAGCTGGCGGGCAAGCAGGGTGGGAGCCCAAGCAGAGAGGAATCCTCTTCCGGAGCCCCAAGCCAGACCCAAGGGCTGGACGCGCGGGGGCGGGGCGGGGCCTCCTCGGAGGTCCTGGGCCACAGGCCTTTGCCCTCCCCAGACCAGCTGCCCAACCCCCGGGTCCTGCAGAAACTGGCAGTGCCCATCATTGACACGTCCAGCTGCAACCGGCTCTACAGCAAGGACGCGGAGCCCGGCCTCCTGCCGAAGACCGTCAGGGAAGACATGCTGTGTGCTGGCTTCGCCGAGGGCCAGAGGGACGCCTGCAAGGTAGGGCGGGCCTCGGCGCGGTGGGACCAACGTCCAGCTCGCGGCAGGAGAGCCCAGGGCCAGTCCTGGGCAGGCCCGTCCCGGAGGCAGGTGCTGACTCCTGGCCTGCTTCCCCTCTGCCTCCCGCAGGGCGACTCCGGGGGCCCCCTGGTGTGCCTGGTGGGCCAGTCCTGGCTGCAGGCTGGGGTGATCAGCTGGGGCGAGGGCTGCGCTCGCCGGAACCGCCCCGGGGTCTACATCCAGGTGGCTGCCCACCGGCGCTGGATCCACCGCGTCATCCCAGAGCTGCAGTTCCAGCCCTCGAGGTCAGGTGGCCGGGAGCGAGGCCCCCGGGCCCAGCGGCCCCCCGGCCGG